GCACTGCTCGCCCACGTCCAGGGCACCAGTTCCAGGTCCACTTTAAATGACCGTTAGCTACACTCTTAGCTATAGTGTGCACATGAACAACACTTCTCTGTCCATTTTCCTGCTTAGGTCCTGTAACACTTGTTGATTTGCCCATTCGATCCGTTACAGACGTCTGTCCAACAGGAGTATCTGAGACACTCGCTGAATCAGCTGATCCATTTGTTTCCATTATCAACCATGGAATAAATAACCACTGCTTCTGCGCTGTAAACGTGACATCCTTTGGAGGCGCTACGTGGATTTGATACGGCTGTATTCCATTCATTTCATTTGGTGTAGCCCAAAATAACAAATTTGCCATAGATGGCTTTGCGGTCAGCACAAGTGACATCCTCTGTCCCAAAACCTTTACCACAGCACACAAAAAAAAAAAAAACCCAAATGAAAAAAATCTTTCAACGGGGAGTAAAAGGCAGAGGAGGATCCCTCTCCCAGGATGGACAGAATAGTTGTGAAGAACAACTTAAAAGATGTTTGATAGGAAGTCATATGGCCGAAATGATTCACTAGTTCAATGGTTTAGTAAAGCCGAATGACACCCATCAAGTTTCGCTGTGATTGAGTTGTAATAAACAGACATAACGATATGCAAAAATTTGCTAAGCAGATTTTTTAAAAGTATTGATTCATGTTCTGTTAGTTTTTGCCCTCAAGAAATATATTTTTAAAACTTATATCATTATAATTATGGAACTTGCTGATTTAAGATAAACTATGTGGACCAGATGGATAAATACCTAAAATTGTAGGTGAATGCTTTCAATGTTAACTCCAAACCAATCATAATGGATAAGTTATCCACATTTGATAAAATGGTGTTGTTTAAAACACCTCCTTAACTGACTTTCAGATCGGAGACAAGTTTTCAAAAATATTTCTCACATTGAGAGAAGAAATAACAGGAGTGACAACATGACTAAACAACGACATCTAACAGGAAGTAGATTCATGACTAAACAAAGACATCTAACAGGAAGTAGATTCATGACTAAACAACGACATCTAATAGGAAGTAGATTCATGACTAAACAAAGACATCTAACAGGAAGTAAATTCATGACTAAACAAAGACATCTAACAGAAAGAAGATTGATAACTAAACAACGACATCTAACAGGAAGTAGATTCATGACTAAACAAAGACATCTAACAGGAAGTAGATTCATGACTAAATGAAGACATCTAACAGGACGTGGATTCATGACTAAACAAAGACATCTAACAGGAAGTAGATTCATGACTAAACAAAGACATCTAACAGGAAGTAGATTCATGACTAAATGAAGACATCTAACAGGAAGTAAATTCATGACTAAACAAAGACATCTAGTTAACGAAGACATCTAACAGGAAGTGGATTCATGACTTAATGAAGACATCTAACAAGAAGTGAATTCATGACTAAATGAAGACATCTAACAGGAAGGAAATTCATGACTAAATGTCAGCTAACCTATAAAAAAAGACTACACTAAAACTTGCCTGACAACATGATTATGTTTCTTGACATTGGCTTGGGGGTTGGGGTGGGGTCACTATCCTGCACACACCTCCCTCATGAAAAAACAGCCCTCCTGTTTCCTTTCCCCTACAAGATGTCAAGCATAAACACCGCTGGAGTCTGTTTCTTATGGGGTTTGGTGATGGTAGGGTTGGGGGGAGGGGGTCATTTTGCTCGGCCTTTAATTGGTTTGGGCGTTAATCTGGGGGGCTCCAGACTAAGAGCAGGGCTAATATGTGATGAGACCGGAGAGAGAGTCGGGCTCTGCCCTGGGGGGCTGTTGACGGCTGCAGAGAGGATTGTAGGAGATTATCAGAGATCTCTGAGCGTCCCGCAGGAACAACTTGACCCAACTGTTTGTACACTTGTCCGTCTGAGTGAACGAGAAGGGTTTTGCAAATTTGCCTATTTCGTGAAATCCACGTGGAAGAGTTCTTGTGGGAAAAGTTCTGTGGTCCTTCACCGGGATCCAGGGTCCCAGGGGCTACATGAAATGGTTGTAGGCGTTCCAATATCTGCTGCTTCCTAACTGGGAGCTGGTGTTATTTCACTGGGATATCATATGTGGATATCGTCCAGCATTGGGTCTCGATTAACAAGAACCTCACGTTTTTGTACGTGAGAGTAGAGTTGTTCTTGTCTACGTCAGATTTGTGACGTGTTCTTATCATACCTGTGTTCTTGTGATGATAAATCCTGTTGAAGGTGCAAGTCGATCAAAAAGAATTCAGTGGAAAAAAACCCAATGTAAAGGTCAAACAAGCTTTTATATTTAGTGTAGTGTTTATTTATCATTTAAAACGTAATGTCTTGCATTATTCCTCACATTTCTTTTTTTGCCATATTCCATACCTCACTCATTAATGAAAATGTAATAATACTAACCATATAATCTTTTCAACCACAAGAGTGTATGATTTTTCAAATGAAAGACATTGCAATTTTTAAAAATTGATTTTCTCATTGCAGAACAAGGTGGCCCAACCATCTTATTCCACGCAGGCCTGACAGATTTAAATCTCATTAACACCTCTTCAAATTTGTTTATTTATATTTGAAGGTTTACAATAACATGGACTCCAAATTAGTGGTCAATGAGATGAAGATGGAAAAAAAGAAATCTCATTCAGTGGGCAGCTTATATGGTAATAAGATAATGACACATGCTGAAAAACGATGTTTTAGGAGACTAGCAGATCCCAATTACCAAAGTACCATAATATTGATATTATTTTTCAATAGTAACATAAAAACTAATTGTCACCCATTACAGCACTGACATGGGTTCCCCTTTATCACCACAAAAAGAAATTGAACAAATAGACAATGTAGTTCTTACACTTTTTATCGTGGGTGGATCTTTGGAGCAGAGGCCAAAAGAGAGGCTAGTCTCCAAAAAGTTATGGAAAAAAAGAGAAGAAAACACTTTTGTCCATAAACCAAATAAAAATCATTTCACACGTGATTATGCGCGTGATCATGCGCCTGCAATTGAGCCTTTTGGCAGGTGCAGACCAGGTTTCACAACATACGTTGATCCCAATGATGTGACCCATCATGACGCTGTGACAAGACCTTCTTGTAGAATGGAGGCTTTAAACCACAGTGACCAGACCGCGTCTGGCCTAGCTAGCGGGAAAAAACATTACATAATAACCCAAATAAATATCAAAAGTGAAAAAGTCGATGTATAAATATTGGGTTCATTTTTTGAGTAATCATTTATATTGATTAATCATATAATTATAATTTAACTTCTTTGTAAATAATGAATGAATTAAAAAGTGAATAAAACTGGTTGTCACTCTTCCTCACATGAATCAACATGAAAGTATTTATGTTGTGTAGTATAAGATGGGCATCGCGTTTGTTTCAATGGACGGCCCAATGGTGCGTCACTTTAACAGACGCCGTTGCAAGGAATTGTGGGGCGGCAGCATCTTCTTTCCATTTCAAAGAGGGGAAAGGTAGTCAGGAAGCATAGAAGGCCCTTTTCTTTTCATTTAGAAAATTCCACTTGCTTTTCATACATTTTGGCACTCAAAATTTTTCACAGCATCCCATGAAGTCTTAAAGGAAATAAGTTTAATGAAAAGAGGTTGATTCTCTCACATTCTCCTAGAATATTACTCCCATAACATGATATTATGGATGAGAGTGAAGCTTTTAACACCTTCTGTCTCTGTGTTCTTTGTTTGTGTGTGTGTGTGTGTGTGTGCGCGCGCGCGTGTCTGTGTGTGTGTGTGCGTGCGTGTGCGTGTGCCTATCTTTGGGTGGGTCTTATTTTTCTCTCTGCTAAATCGAATTGTATTTAGATTACATTTCATGTAAAATAATATAACAAAGATAATAACAATGTGTCTGTCCCCTGTCCTGCAGTGAGTATGAACGCGTGATGTTACTGGCTCCAGTGTCCACAGGCCCTTCACTTTGCACGTGTCTCTTTTCGGCGCGGATGTCCCCACGCAGGAGGACACTCAGTACCAGCTGGTCGCTCCTCGCAGCGGCCGCAGGTCATCTGATCCCCAGCGCAGCAGCGCCACCGCGCGTCCGTGGAGGAGAAGACACTCGGACTCGCGTGTTACTGTCCGTCTTCTTGCTGGTTGGAGTTTGGGAAAATCAACAGATTGGAGGCAGCTGACCTTCACTTCCGTCCACGAGACGTGCCACATTTTGGTCTTTGATCTTTGACTCATTCCCGCGTGTTTTGTCCTGGTTGTCCTGCAGGCGGACCATAAATCCCACGCGCTTCTTCTCGGCAGAAAAAAATATATTTAATGACATCAACAAAATCACTGCAGTTTTGTTGCTTGTATCTATAGAGCAGGGTGAAACAAAAGGGATCTTTTCAACACATCACTTTACACCACTTTTAGTGTTTCAAAATAAAAGCAGTTGTGCGTTTTTCTGTTGCGTAGAATCCCTCAACGTGGCACCAGGCCTTTATTCTGAAATGTAGGCAGGATCGTGCTGCAGAAGATACAGTAACTTGGTTTTGAGTTTGTTCTTTTTTCAAACGATCACAGGCGTCTGAACCTTTGTCAGTATGAGATAAATATAACGCTGTAAAAAAAGGAAACATTGTGGCATTATGAGAGGATGTGGATTAAAGTTACTACGATATCCACTGTTTCATGCAATCCCATGAAAATCTTCCCATGGCATTATGACATATGTATTACATTTAAAAGTGAACTTATTCCCCCGGAGGAGCAGCAAATAAAATGGAGATCCAGGTTTAGCAATACATATTTTATTTGTCCCTTTGCCTTTAAATCTGAAGAAAATACATGTGTCGGACTTCAATAACACAAGGACAAAATATCAGCACTAATTTGTGTGTGCAATCCCTATCATTACATCTTAAATCAACGTCATATTTTGATATTGTAGAAGAATAAAAATTCCAGGTGGCTTTTTAAATTTGAAGAGACGATGACTCATGGGAGAAGAGTTGATATTTAATTTTATTATGGGTTCATCAATATTTATGGACGTATAATCATCTCTTTACAATACAACGTAAGACCAGAAGAGCATGACAGACCACTACAACAGAATGTCATAGTTAAAAAATAAATCAATAAATAAGAGCAAAAATAAACCAAATACATGTTCCAAACTTAGATATAGATTCATAAATACTAATATTGTGTCTGCATGCGTCATGAAATACCCTCAAACGATTGCTGTACAAACACGAGTGGAGAGTTAATGTACAGAATGAGTCGATGAGGCTACTAGACCGTACTGAGGAAAGGCCCAACATAGAAAACAAGGTACTCAGGAAGCACTTTAAAGAGACCTCACACACACACACACACACGGTGCATCTTCCATAATGGTTATATTTACAAATGGACTGCATACAAACGTTATAACACATAGACACTTGCACACACCCGCACACTCAGTTTGAAAAACAGACCAACATGTCTGGGAGACCCTGATTTTATAGACCACATTTCCCATCTCTTCCTGAGGAAAAGCAGCAGCATTACATCCAAGGTTGTCCCCTGTGAAAGGCCAAAACTGCCAAAGGATAAAATAAAATGTTTTTATTTTAAAATGTTTTTGTGCATCATGTGACCAAATTGTAATACAATGTTATTAATCGTTTAGACGTGGCATGTATAAAGGTTGCATTTAAAATGGGAATGTAATTCCATTGAAATCATGGTGGTGTGAAACTGGCATCCAATCAGGTTTTGGTTGCTGATTATATCAATATGATTAATTGATATGAATAACTCCACTTGAAGTGTTTCATATTATTAAAAAGTCAAATTTCATGACATAGGAAACTCCTGATGCAGGAAAGAGAACGTGATGCTTCTATGTTCTGTGAATGGATTTCCACGTTTCCCACACACATCTCAACACATTTTGATTATTACTTTCGAATTGAATGATTTGGCTTGTCTTCTATTTTCCTTTAGTTATGTTTTACATGGTGGTTTAAAAAATGTATATTATTTTATTTCCTTTGCTTTTTTCAATGCAGTTTTTATAGTACAAATAAAACATAACTAAAGCAAACTAAAATCCATTTTGCCGTTTTACTCTTATGTTTCGGTAAGACAGTTTCTCCCAATTTTAGTTTCATTCCATTTTTTGAATTCAAGTTGTGTTGACCTTTCTTAATTGTGCATTTTCAAACATAACATTTGAATTCTTTAAGTGCAGTTTTAATGTAATTGCTCAGATGCAAACAAATTGAAAATTTAAAAACAGTTGTTGTTTCAATATTGGCTACCCAGATCTTTCACAGATTCCATCTGGTTTCCCTGTCAGTTTTGATACACCATCTTCAGGTTCAGACATTAAATGGCAGACCATGAGGCCGTGCCTCTATTCTAATGTTTTGTCATTGTGTCTAAAAGTCATCAACACTTTGATCTGAGAAGCTTCTAATATCCACCAAAGGTTCCCAATGTGCATATCTTCCCATTTCCCTCGGCCCGTGTGATGTTGTTCCTGCTCTACTGTTCCTCCCAAACACACAGACAGTAAGCTTGCTACTGGAACACAAAATAAATGATTCAGTAAGTGCCCAAAGAAACAAAATAAAGAAATCTTTCAGCATTTGTATGGCCCTTTCCTCTTGATAAGAAGGGTATTTCACATTGAATATGGCTCACGGTCATTGTCACCGTCATCATTGTTTAAACACAGAGGTAATTAGATCCTGTACAAAATGACAAACACACACACGTACCCACACACACACACACACACACACACACAACTGATCTTTAAAAAGAAGAATATAAATACTGAATACTTTCATTAACAACAGGTCATCATCAGCGTACGATCAAATCCTGTGAATCCTGCATCTGACTTCCAGTGTTGCTCTGGAGAGATGAATGGCAGTTATATAAGAGGTTGTCACAATAAATGTTGGCATAAGTAGTAGTACAAATGGCGTTATCACAGCTAAACAACATGAAGTGGCCCAAAAAAACTCATCTTGTGTTACTGTGTGTCTGTTGAAGTCAGGTGTGTTTACCCTTTGGAGAATGAAATGGAATGTCTTCTTGTGGCATTTTAGAACCCTCATCAGCAAGCGTCCATGACCACATCCGTCAACAATGTCTACAACATGTCCAGAGTTAATCATACACTGGCTGTGCTTTTAATAGCTTCTTGCCTATGTTTGTGTTTGGGCTTAATGTATTAAGTTGTGGGACTCTTAGGAGACGGACTGAAAAGGAGCGGTCCAATTGGAAGCATCTGAGGTATCCAAACATTTATGCTGGGGGGGGGGGGGGATCAAGTTCCAAACTAATGGAGCCTATATTTCCCATAATGCAACTCAAATGTTCATTTTGTGAATACCCTTTGTGCTGGAAGAAAAACCTACAGCATTCTCACTCCACGCCTCCACTTAGTAACAATTTCGGGTCTAAATTTGAACTCTCCAAGCCCAAACGTGAGATAAGTGCCATCCTTGTGACATCTTCGGGGATATTTCCTGAGACTTGACACAGATGGGGGCGCAGAAGACGCAACTCTTTAGTGGCTCATCAGGGGTCAGGAAAAAGGGTAGACGGACTAACGTGTAGTCCTTTTAAATTGACAGGAGCAGAAATGACGAAGACTGGATTTCATTTTTACGTTGCAGTATCAAGAATATTATTAATGTACATATTGTTTTACAGCTACAAAAGCAATGCTCTACTATTAGCTATGTTTAGCTTGCTATGCTAGCCATGGCAATATAAAAATGACATAACTGGCCTGGCTGGATAGCCAGGTAAAAGGTGAATTTAAAGTAAAAATACATTTCAACTTTAGATTTCTTTTTTGTATTGTATTGTCACAGCTACGATTACTAAATGTAAGAAAATTAATAAAATATACCACAGATACTGTATATATTTATATAACAAGTCTATCATGGTGCATTAGAGCTTTTGTAGGGAACAACAACTATGTTTTAGATCCGGGGAGATTACTCCTCTGTAATAAAAAAAATACCTATAATGGCCGTCACATAGGTCTGTACAGGTTGCTTGTAACAGTTTAAACAAATCAATGCATTTATGTTTTAGAAGAAAACTCTACCTTTCATATTCACTACTCTGTTCAGCCTAATGCACCTCTTCAGAAGTCGAAAAACAGAAGATTTTAGAATATTTATAGCCAGCCGTATTGTCATTTCTGTTCCTGTCTCTAAAATGGCATGGAGCAAATGGCATGGAGCCCGTCTAAACAACTACTGAATCTGTCTAATGAAGCCATGATAATAATAAAACCGCAATGCACATTTAATAGAGCCTTATTCTGTCCCCTTAATTATAGGGTATTGTGTTACATTTCAATGAAGCCCACAATCTCAACTAAATATTGCTTGTAATGTACCCTGTAAAATACAAATTATCTCAAATATCCAAGGAGAACGGACTTGAAGATCACATGTGAAGTTGGAGATCGCACACAGACCCAAACCAATTCATTTCCTAACATTATTAAACATGGCGACAGTTTCAGCACTTTATAATTCCCTTGATGGCTTTCCATGTTACAGAGTTAAAAGAAAACTATGTTATTTACAACTTTTTAAAATAGTTTTGGTCATCAAAAGCTGAATTGCTAAAACCCAGAGGGTGAATCCTCACCAGACATCAGAGGGTTTGGAAACAAATCAAAGGAATCAGCGCTTTTAAGAAGTTGTAACTCCTATTTGAGGTGAAATGGGCTTCCTACTCGACTGGTGGGTAAAAAGTTAATTAAATAAATCAAATTTCCTTTAAAATATCATCCCTGTTATTAAGAGGGTTCACTATAGAGGAAGAACACTGCAGCTAATCATTACATGAAGTCCAATAAATAACTGATGGGACGGGGTGAGAGATGAAGGATCAACAGTGATCATGGCGGCCTCTCCTCCTCCTCTCTGTTGCTCCACGTGCCCTGTGAGTGAGAACCAGTTTGCAATTCAAGTGTTTTCGTATGACAATGTTGATGATTGTGTGTTTCTCTGTGTGTCTGTGTCCGATTGTCCATCCCCTACGTGTAGATGTGTAACACAACCGAAGGACCCAGAGATAAAACATCCAACCCAAGTCAGACCAGTTCCTGGGAGGGGGGAGCCCTGCAGCACACGTCCCGGGTGGGTGAGTTTGGGACGTGTACACGCAGTGTCTTTCCATATAAACTTCCTGTGTAGGGTCACGTTGTTCTTAGGTGGACTTGGTTTGGTTTAGGTTTGCTGAGTAGCTTCTGTTTATGGCGTTTATTAAGTTCATAAATTACCTGAATTTGAGTAAAAACACCTCTGAAACACATTTATTTATTTGAGGAGAACTGCTGCTGTTTTGGGTCTATAATGAGCAAAAGTATCAGTAGTTTATCTGGTTACTTTACCAATAATATCTTGAGGGTTGGGACCATTGGGCCTTAATGCATGATTGTGTGTGTGATGGGAAGAAATTAAGATTTAAATAAATTACTTTTTTTTGTGCTCTTAACACACATTTGAGCCACCTGTCTCCACTCATTGATATGTGATTAAGAAATAAAAACAACCATCTGACGTATTTTTGAAACCAATCATAAATAAAATTCTGGATCTGATGATTATGAGACGAGATCTGATGAATTAATAAGGAACTCCTACTTAATATTAGAGATAGGATCAGCTGAATTAACTTTCTCTAACAGGTGTATGAGGTCTGTGTTCTGATTCGTTATAACCTGGAAGAAAATCACTCCAAAAAGTACAAGGACTGGGATTTGGTTACACCCGTACACCTTGGCGTGGACGAGCATACATCTCTGTGTTGGTATAGCGCAGTGTTTCCCCGTGTACTGCGTGTCCTCATAGCCTTGTCTGAGCCTCGGGGATGTAAATCTCGATGCTGTCGGCGCTCTCCGTGGCCGAGTTTTGCCGGACGGATGCTGCCCTCTTGGCGGCCATGAGTCGCCTCCTGGCCTCCTGCCGCTGTTTCTCCGAGCTCTCCAACGAGCGGTCTCTGGCCAGAGGGGGGTGGTGGTGGGGGGCCTTGGGTGGCTTTTTTGGCACTGGAGGTGGGAGCCTCCTCTCCTGGTGGGGAGAGGACGGTTGGGAGGGGGGCGGGGGAGTGAGAACATGTCAGGAAAAAGACAGACGTGTATGTGTTCAGTGTAACGGCCATCTTGAAGTATCTTCAGTACGTGCATCTCTAGGGGCTTGTAAGCCTCTGCACATCTGCACGCTTGGAACCAAAGAAGAACGTTTTTCATTCTGATCACTGTGTCAGTGCAGCTACTCCGGGATCTTAACTCATTCCTTGCACACGTTGTTTCGTACAGTGGTTCTAGCTGGACTAAGACAAGGGTGCCCAAAAGGTCGATCGCCAAGTACCAGTAGATCGGCTGCCATTGGTCACGGGTGAGTGGAGAGATCGCCATGACTTGGTCCGTTGAAAAGTAGCTTGGGAGCCTGTGTGGGCACCACGCTGTACTAAGATATATAATATAAGGATAAAGAAATGTTGCTGTACAACAATCTATCTGCATGAGGACTTTCATATGCATGCAAGGAAGGTACTCTATAATAATAAAGCATATATATACTATGTTTGTAAGAGAATCCAGTGTACAGGTCTGTTCCTGCGCATAAGCTGTACATATAAAAAACAAGACAGGACCAATTTCTCTACGAAGTAGAAAAAATCAATGCTTGTTTCTTTCTAAGTAGTAGCAAACTTGCCTTTTTACTGGTGTTTTAATACATTTAATATTTGCCTGCCAGTTCCCTGTTGTTTTTTTGATGGTATTTTAGTGTTTTGCACGTCTCTCATTTGATCCAAGGATCCACTCTCTCCCGTCCAACGCACACAACATGAAGCCACACACAGTGAGGCGGCTGCAGGCGGCAGAGGGGACGAAGGGCAGGAGGAAGCATGGGCGGATGGATGGAAAAGACAGACATGATGGATCTACGGAGGCCCAGAGGTGTCAAGGCCCCGTGGTGTTGTTGGCATTGCAGTTATGCTGATGGATGCGTGGCTGTTTGCGAGCGCCTTCACTGTCGACACAAAAAAAAGCACAAAGAAAGAAAAAAGACAACAATAAGCGCAAATGAGGAAGCCAGCATAGTCAGTATTCACAATGATGCAAAGCCACAACAGCCACTGCTGAAAGAGAGCAACGGAGCAGGCAGAGAGTAACAGATACACTTAAAGATATTCAGAGTATCTGTATCAGCACCGACACGGCAGATCACCATGCACTGCAAAAATATCAGCAAGGCTCTGTTTGCGTCTGTTGGCGGAATGCATGTATCGATTGTTATCGGTTTTAAAGTAATGCCATGCAAACCAAAGCTGCCTTTTAATTGTTGTCCTCGGCACCATGAATGAAGAATTTTGTATGACTGCTATCACGACTTACGTTTTTGTCACAAAGTGGAGAACAATTTTTGGGCTGCAATGTAATACGTCATTGTCTATAAAACTGCTTGTCTGTTGTGTCTATATAAGAAGACGTTACATTGGTCGATGTGAAATGACCTGGGTCAAATGATCGGGTTGTAGTTTTGAAGCTTGGTATTTTGACTGTTGCCATCTTGTGTTGTTGCAAACTGAAATGATATGAAAGGGTGGAGCTAAATAACACAGAATGCTAAGAGGACGAGACAATGCTGAGCTGTCACACACAAGGTAGTGACTCTAAACGGACCATAATTTACTAAATGAACGTTATGCTGTATTGAATAAAAAGACCTATGCATAGTGTGAAGTAGATGGATTGCCGTTCTGAGGCCTCCAGTTTCTGCCATTTTACGGTCGCCATTTGGGATGAAGGCTTCTGCCTTGTTGTCTTTTTTGCGGAGCAACGGAAGTTTTGAACATTTGGAATGCAAATGACGTAGAGGCTCCGTATACGTCTCTGGTAGCAACAGCGACAGTCAATCAGTAGACCCGCCCTGAAGCATACTGCTTTATGGTCTATTTGACTCCAAATATTATAATGTACTAAACGAACATCATGCTGTATTGAAGAGGATTTGAAACTCATATTTACAATACTTTACTAAGGGAATAAATCAAGCGAGTAAAGCCATTTTTTCATACCAGATAGGACCGGAGGAAGCGGCCCCTTCTAGACATTAGAGAAAGTGCTGGAAATTCAACATGGGCTTGTGTAACCATGTCTCACTCAAGGAGGAGTCTTGCTTTAAAACCTTGCAAGGTGTTACTTGTTGCCGGAAGATAACGGTGGAAACAATGGAGACAGGAGTGGTCAAGTTGTCACTGCTTGTTGTGCTGGAGAACAGTAAGTGTAGCTTTGTGTTATCGAAAAAATCTTCAATGTGTTACCTGAATATTAAGTGGATTTCTGTTGTAAAATCAACTTAGATGTGTGAGAGAGGTGATCGATGACATTTACTGGTGAAGCGCTTTGAGTGCTCAGAAGACTAGAAAAGCGCTGTACGAGTACAGTCCATTTACCATGCACTTCCGTTGTATGAAATCATTGGGACTGACCCACACACATTATGGACGTACCAATTTGCTATATAACTTTCCATTGCGATTCAGAATGAGGCAGGTGCATGTCTGAAAGGGGCTGACGACACAAATGCGCCCAATGTACAGGGACCTTACATGCTGTCACAGTGGTTCAATAAACTAATGTTGAACAGCCAAACAGCAAAAGGAGAAGAAGCGCACTGAATAAGTCTGGCCAGATGGTGATGACACCCCAAGTCCATCAGTCAGCACAGAGGAAGCTTGTGTGAATGTACCTTTCGTTCTGGGGGATCCAGGGGTCGCCAGTTGTTGGCTCTGATCTGGTGAAGCTCATCAAACTTGAGGCTTATGTTCTCGATCGACAGCTGTAGCATATCCCAAAAGCCAGCCAGGTCGGATGCCACAGGGCGGGGGTGGGCGTTGGGGTTCTATGACAGAGGAGGAGACGGAGAAGAGCAAGAGCATTAAAGACAAAAGCCAGGGAAGAGAAAAGGGGATAAAGACAGTTTTACACATTAGTTCATGTAAAGTGACACAAAATGTACCTCGAAAAGAGAATAAAAATATATTGGGTTGAGAATTCATTTTGTAAGAGTCATTATGATGTGTGTCAGGGTCTGATTGTTGGACGGGTCAACCTATATAGGGTAGGAACCTTTGGGTGCTTGGCAGGTGTTTCCAGCCGGGATAGAAAAAACAGTTTTTGACCACACGCTGGGTGGATGTATGTTAAACGTATGACAATAATAAGTGGGCAAATAAATGGACTTGTTTGCAACGTAACAAAAAGGCTACAGGACTCTCAGTCTTCCGTCATGGTACAACAGCGGCACGTCAATTAAGTTTCCGGACAAGATACCTCGAAGGGTTAAAGCGTTGGCTTAGCCTCTACATATTTAATTCAGTTTCCGTTCCCTTTGTATTCTAACTCAGTTTGAGTCAAAAAGAGGTATATAGCTGAAGATTATTAGTAATGAATTATTACTAAATCCTAATAGTCCCAAGAACATCCAATTGGACCCAAAGACCATTTCTCAAACTAACCACATCTGTTGTTCGGAAGGCCTGTTGCTCCAGGAACTACAACAACCGGAAGCACTTGGCTAATCATTCCTCTTCCCATCGTTTTTCCCTTCAATGGCGGTCATGAGCCGCCCTACACTGCCTGTAATTGGCAAGTACTTGTTTTCCCGTAGGACCACAGTGTCTTTGGGAATAGCACATTGAAACCTTGCTTGATGATTAAAATGGTACTTCATCGGTACAGCAATAAGAGCTATGTTCTTTTTCTTCTTCTAGCACTTTATTCATAATACACATCATTTATTGGCACTCTCTGAAAGAAAAAAGTAACACATGTTATTATCAGCAACAAAGTGAAGATTTGACCTAATGGTGGAACTACAATAGAAATCTGAACATTTGTCCTGAGCATGAATATCTCTACAAGGTTTCATGACATGAGGGAGGTTTTGTGTTTCTATGGAAGCATTTGCTTGTAAGGAAAAAAGAGCAAACTTGTCAAATCAGTTTCCTTGGATCAGATTGTTGAATAGTTGAGTATCTAGAGTCAGCCCTGGTTTTAAGTACATCCTCTTTTGCCCCTTGGGGGCTCCCATATATTTCATACCTGGAGGCTTGTGAGAAACAAATTAGTTCATTGAGAAGACAATAAGAAGGGAGTGACAAGAGAGAACTTTAGTAGAAAGTGATTCATAGATAAATGGGTAAAGAACATCACAACATTTCAGTTTGTGTAAAAGTCTATGTGGCTGCATGTTCTCAGTGTGAGTATCTCACACTCACCAAATTCTCCTCGCACAGCTCCCTGAACTGTTGGAACTTCTGGGACATCAGAAGCTGAGCACTTCCTACAGCACTCCTCATCTTCCCGAGGACTGAGCGCAGAGACAGGAAGTTCAGAACGAGAAGAAACTAGAAAACATACATCTGTTCTGCAGAACGAGAGCTTCCTGCACAGTGGTATGGTCGGCTGGTGTAGTTCGATATCAAGGAAATGTTACCCTCACTAAACTGAGCAGAAGGCAGTCACTTTAAATTTTCATCATTTTATTTAAAAGCCAAACTCTCAATCAGTGGCTTTCACAAAACAATTGATGGGATGCAATTCCAAATGAACCCTTTTATTTAAGTGTTCATAAGTAGAGCGTTTAAGTAGAGCGGTTGGACTACTGCTCGAAGCTTTCTTACTTTCAGAATTAATTTCATTTTCCATTTTCTTTCAGCCAGCTTTGATAATATATAAAGTGAGATTTTAGGGAAAATAGAAAGCGGCCCCTCCTATGTAGTAACACACCGTGGATCCTAGACAAACGAAGAACACACACCAGGACTCACCATCATCAGGAAGGTCGTTGTCCTGTTGGTCAAGCTCCATCTGTCGACACCAGCCCTCCATGCGGTCAGTCTCTGCCTGCAGCAACTTCAGAAACCAGCGTCCATCTCTGTGACACACTGACCGCTGAACCACCTGCCATTCAAGCATTCAGACTTTCACAGCACGTAGAGGTAATCTACATATCCACTCCAACAGGAAGAGGTCGTATCCGTCCGTAATATATAAAACATATGAAACGTACGGCCGGGGAATTATCATGCATTAATCAGGACTTTTGTGGTTGTTTTGTGGTTCATCAATCTCCACAGTGTTGTCTCTATTCTACTATTTATGATCGATGCAATCGGAAAATAATATTAATTTACAGATTTATATGTAGATTTTTTGTACTTCAGTGTTTTTATTCATATTAACAAATGTCATTACATAAGTAACTTGTTTACTTCAAAACACACTTTACCTTTTAAAAACTTGCATCAATGGTTTTTGTTTATTCTGTGATCATAAGCTCTAAAGTATAGGGTCAGATCAGTCTCAATAATTGCAAATGCACACAGAACGACTAACACAATTGCGCACGGAATAAATCACAAATGTTTTAGATTCACAAATGCACACAGTAAGATTTACAAATACATTTCAACGCACACATAAATAAATTACGATTTATATTTGCGGATTGCACTGCATTTATTTGCGTATCGCTTCACATTTTTTGAGACTCGTCTTACGTCCCAGATCCTGCGATGAGACTGCCAGCGTTACAGCTACGCAATGCAACGGGTCCGAAGTCACCAAACAATGGCGTCTGGTAGTGATGACCCTCTGCTTCAAGTGTAAGTGAAACATGATTAATGTACCCCCCTCCCCCTCCCATGTTGTAAGACATGACCTTGAACCATGAATTATTAGTTTTGATCCGTTGACGTTATGTTAGCGGAGTAAATTCCATGAATTATTTGCAACTTCTTATTCACTTAATCTTAAAGCTCCATTAGCTTAGTTAGCTAGCCAGTGTTGTCTACAGATTCGGCATGCTAATTTGTTTCTTCTGCGAAGTAACGTCTTGAAACTGCGTTACAATTATTGAAAAAAACTGTGGTGTGTGACAGGGTCTGTTGCCTAGCAGCACTTGTCTGATCCTGACTTGTCTGTTACATACTTATTATTGCATCTCTATTTGCACCTACCTGTTTAGGGATTGCTAAGAATGAACAAAAAGAAAGAAAGATGGCAGTTATGATCCAAAATCTGCATACAAAATGGGGTACAGATATAATTCTATGCATGTTGTGTATGATGTACTGGCTTTAGTGGCTCACGTTTCAATTAAATGCATTTGAGGTGTTGCATGCTAACATGTTCTCTTCCATCAGCGGAGGTACTCTTCATGTGACCTCATTAAATTCTGGGTTTGGAGGGAGCTGCTGGAGAGAAACCTCATGGTTGAGGTTGCAACTTACCCAATTCACCTGCTTCTTCAATCTGAAGCTCCCCAACCACTTCCAGACCAGGAGATGCTCCTCCAGGACATGATGATGGCCAACAGTTCCATCACTTCTTGTTTTGGGCTTGTGTAGATGAAAATATTAGGTGTTGCACTTGAATTCCTATTCACATAGGCCCTAGTATAGTTTCTGAAGGTCTTTGATGATTATTTCCTTCAAGTGTTCATTACCAATACAGTTAACACATACAAATGACGACTTCCTTGAACCACAGAAAAGCAGTACATTGTTTTGTTTTTTAATTGTTTTATATACAAATTGTATGCAAGACACTGGCTCCCTGTTAAATCAAGAATATAATTTAAGGTACTCCTCCCCACCTACAAGGCACTTGCTGGTGAGGCACCGTCGTATCTTAAAGAGCTTGTAACATTGTATTGCCCTACAAGGCAGCTGTGCGTCCATAGATGCTGGGTTACTTGTTGTTCCTAGAGTTTTAAAAAGTAGGATGCGAGCCAGAGCCTTCAGTTATCAAGCTCCCTCAGTCCGGGGGGCAGAGTCGGTCAGCTCTTTAATATCGCTTATAGTTAGGGCTGGCTCAGGTTAGCCTGGACCAGCCCTTAGTTAAGCTGCTATAGGCTTGGACTGCTGGGGGACTTCTTAGGACACACCGAGCTCCTCTCACGTTCTCTTTCTACAATCATTCATGTTTTATTAATTCAAATGACTAATTCAGTTTCTTTCCGGGAGTTTTTAGTGCTTTCTCCCCCAGCAGGTTTCTGTAGATCGTAGTTCCTTCTGGACCCTGGTCCTGACACCTGCCGTGGCCCTGCTGCTGCTATCATCATCATTATTTCTATATAATGGTCGTTCTATCTGATGGTAGTTGTCCCTGCAGTGGTCCTTCTGATAGCTGCTGCTGCCATCATTATCATTATTATTTGAAATTTTAATCATATTACCCTCCGATTGGCTGGCGACCAACCCAGGGTGTACTCTGTCTATCGCCCAAAGTTGGCTGGGATAGACTCCAGCCCCCCCGCGACCCTGTGTGCAGGATAAGCGGTTTGCAGATGGATGGATCATATTACTGTAATCATAAACCAACATTACCCTCTCCTTTGATCTCCCTTCCCACAGGCTTCTGTGTATAGTGGTTCTATCTGATGGTGGTTGTCCCTGCAGTGGTCCTGCTGTGCGCCTGGCTTACTACTCACAAATATTTGAATAATTTCTGTCATAGGAATGTAATGTATTATACATTGTTTACACTGTTCATTCTGTACACTGTACAATGCCGCAAAACACATCCATGATGCAACGTATTTAACGTAGCAATAATTTACTACTCAAACGTTTACGTCAATCATGCACGCCATGAAACTTTAAACTTGTTTGACTTACACAAGAAGCAGAGCGCCGTCACTACCGGACGCCATTGTTTGCTGACTTCAGACCGTTACATATCAAGTTGCGTTGCTGTAAAGACTAGTTTATGCTTCTGCGTTTTCAGAGAGACGCAAGGACACGCAGACGCAAGACCCCCTTGCGTGTCTTTTCACACCTCCTTGCGTGCGTCGAACCACTTTTCTAGACTAGCGTCAAAAGCTACGCAAGCCTCCCGCAGCCCGCAAGGCTGTGATTGGTCTGCTAACTACGTCCTTTACGGAGTCCCACATTTCCGCTTTCATAGCACGATACCGCCATTATTAAAACGAAAAATTTTACGAGAGAACGGATCAGATTGAAGCGCTCTTGCCGGAAGAAATCCGTAAATATGACCACTTATACAAGCCGTCATTGGCGGACTATGAGGACGGGCGGATGCCCTCCGATTCATGGAGGGAGATTGCCGCAAACAATAGTCTATGATAAATAAATAAATTAACAAACCATGACTTCCACACATAAAGACGTGACTCTCTAGGTCGTCTTCGACAACAAACGTTACTCCACCTATTGTTCTGGCGGGGAATTGCTCTGCAACAAACGCAAGACTTTCAGAACCATGAATTCAAACGAGTGCGTCGACACGACTATGCATAGAGACGCAGAAGCATTCGCCAGCCATAACGCTGTCAGGCTCGTGGGGGAGGGGGGAGCAGTGATTGGTTGAAAATGAGGGCGACATTTGATTGGCTACAGACAGGTCCATGTTGGAAAATAACGCACATGTGGATCTGCGACGTAAAGTCTCAAAAAAACCCAAACACAAATGTGAAGCGATACCCAAATAAATGCAGTGCGATTCGCAAACATAAATCGTAATTTATTAATCTTACCATTGAAATGTATTTGTAAATTGTCCCGTGCGCATTTGTGAATCTTCCGGTTTGCATTTGTGAGTCGTTCTCTGTGCATTTGAAATTATTGAGACTGACCTTCACGACCTTCACGGTTTGGGGTTCACGTCTTGTTTTATTTTGTAGTTTTCTGCATCATGTCTCCCTGGTAACTTCACTTCCTGCCTTGTCCTGTCTTCCCCTGTGATTGTCTGTCTGTCATGATTGTTTCCAGCTGTTTCAAATCATCTGCACCTCCCTAGTGTATTTAAGCCATGTGTGTCGCTTGTCACTTGTCGCGTCATTGTTGAATGTCCGGAAGTCCATGTTGAAGGGTTCCTGGTTCTCGTCTGTGTTTTTGCCCCCCTTGCAATTTAGATTTTTTTGAATTTTTGACTATTAAAGTCCTTTTTTGTTTCTTGAAAACTCTGCATTCGAGTCCTGCCTTCCCCGCTACTTCGTGACAGATCTGACCCCATACTAAAGGAGCACTTTATTATTCTTATAATGAAAATCAATGCTGGGGATGGAGACAAGATGCATTTTTTAGGAGTAACATTGCTGAAAATATGTAACCATTTGAACCTGCTCAGAACAAGTGCTCAACAGTCAGCTGTTGCCTAACAGGCCCTCTGTCTTTCAAAGCAATCCATGAGCACGCAGATCTGTGTGATAGCTTCATCCTCCAGTGAGACAACTAGGGGTTGGTTTTTATCATTCATTAACCCATTTATTATTCATTATTTTTTTCAATATTTGACTAATAAATAATAGCAATTTTGTTTTTTAAATAATCATGTAACCAAGACATCTAGACATCTGAAACACGGAGCAAACTGTTGTTGACGTTTTGTTAATTTGCAATTGTTAAAGAAATGAAAGTATGTTAATAATATTGTGTATAATATTAAAGTTTTTCCCATTCTCTGGATACGCCCCCACATACCTCCAGAATAGCCGAGCTGTTGAAGTTGACATCCAGTGAGTCATCCGTTACACTGTCTATCCACGGATCTGGAGGGGGGAGGATGGACGGGTCAAAGCCCACATCATCGTAGTCATCGGAGGCACAGGCGTGGTAGTGGTTCCCTGAGCCCTGGATGCTGACAGTAGAGGTGGCAGCATCACGGGAGTATTGTCGAGAGAGGGCACCAGATGACAGAACCTCCATGTCGGTGTCTGGGGAGTCTAAAGGGGTGTCCATCGCGTCCGGTATGTCCATGTCTGCCTGCATTAAATAATGGATTCATAATGACAGAGGGAACGAGTCAACAGTTGATGATTAGTGGTGAAGGTCTGTGAAGTCGTTGTCTGACCACCATAGGTACAGTATACCCTCTTCCAAATGATATTCAGTCTAATTGGCCTGTTTAGAGCTTGATTGTAGTGCTGGGTCTATTTTTCAAACTGTCCTTGTGTCTTTTTATCCTGTTCTAATTACCTGCACAGCTGTTGTCACACTGTTGGAACGCTGGAAGCGACGATACCTGAACACAAGAGGGGTACAGAAAAAAACTAACATCAACATCAATTTCATGATTCCCAACGTGGTAGATAAATAAGATACGATTTTTTCTTTTATGGCTATAGGTCCCAAATGAGCCGTTGCTACCTGTTGCTACTCCATCAAACTGCCAGAGATAGCATGGAGCCCCCACTGTCACTATCAGTACTCCCTGTAACCAGTAGTATGATCACATTTTTAAAAACAAAGCTAAAAAGCAATTGCAGAAAGCCAACACAGGCTTCCAAGGGTGAATCACTCAGGGTGAGTTACTGAATCAGCTAACCTTAATCTTTACATAGTTACATAACAATTTATTTTATTTAAATAAGTGCTTCAGTTAAAATGAAAATTAGAGCCTTCACAAAATCTGTGTGTACTCCAGGGTTTCTGAAAAAGAAATGAGCCCAAATAGGTGAATCAAGCAAACTAACTGTCAAAGTACCTGTGGGACAGAGCCAGTGCGAACAGTTAAACTTGTCCCGTTAAATTCTTACGTCTGGTTTGAGGATGAATTGTGCCGGTTGCTGTCTGGTGTCAAAGGAATGTGGGTTGGGAGCGTGAGTACAGTGTACCAACAAGACTATTTCACCATTATCTCTTCCAATGTGTTTTGGTTACATTCTTTAACACAGGGTTAGAGACTTTCAAACTGCCAGGGGTCTGAAGAAAAGTGCATTGAGTTTAGAAGCCAGCGAAACAGAATCTCAGCAACAGTTAATGTGTTTATGTCGAGGATAACCTTGGCAGATGAGTCGGTGGGTGTTTGTTTGTGACTAGAGAGAGAGAGACACAATTAAACCACAGCCGGATATGACTCAGCCGGACACTGCGAGTCAGAGGGAAGATAAACCCCTTGTAGCATAACTTCAGTTACCCAACACACATTTATTCGGGTTGCTGTGATCTTTTACACTGTGAGCTGTCTAGTCAAAGCCCAGCACTATGTAAGGAGATACGCTGGAACTATGGCCACCAGAGATCTTTACTCATAGTAAGGTTATGTTGGTATCACCAATAGAAACAATGGACAAAGTGTTGTTTCACACGGCCAAAAGGAGCGTTCCAATTGGCCCATGAACATAGATTGGCCAGTGAGTGTTGCGATGTTTCAGACTTTTGCATGAGGACATTTTCTCTAACGAGACCTTGTTGAATCTTAATGAAATAACCCTGCTGCCGGGCCTTCTATCTGCTTCTCTCTGGAAGTGTTTCTTAGATTCTCCAAACATTGTATTTATTCACTGAGTGCAGTTAGTGACGGTGTGGGCTCACTGGCAGCTCTGTCTGCTTGACAGGGTGATCTTACATCAGAAAGGAATCTTTTAATGGTCAGTATTATCATGGGACAAAAATGTTAGTCCTCTGTCTGTCTGTGCAATTGTCAAACTAAAAGAACCAACTTTGACTCCAAACACAACTCCATCAGGTTATTAAATACGTCATGCTAGTTGGTCCAGATAATTTACATACAGTGGTAATTATGTACATTTTTCATTCTTTTTATCAAAGTTACAAGCTAACAAAGAAAACGAGACACAAAGCCGCTATCCGAGATGACGCGGAAGACGCTAATATGCTTAATATTTCTCTCGGACAAAGAGAGCGAAATAACTACCGAGCATTCCAAGCATATGGATCCCCTTACCTTTGAGGTTTTCAACAAAATGGGGACATATTTTTGTGAGATATTTGTTTTAGTCGTATCCAATAGGATCAGATGATCAAAAAGAGTGTTTGAACCACTAGAGTAGTAATCCTGACTCTGATTACTTTCCCCACTGGGCTATCAGGTAGATGCCTCCTGCCTTGAATGTTTTATAGGACTCATAATGCTGAAAGACACTTGTTTCAGGCGATTCTCAAAATGATCAGTTTTTTTCGTGTGTATACATTGATTTATTTCTTCACCAGTAACATCTAAGCTAATTTTTAAACATCAGAACACTCACAGGTTCTCTTCATCCTGACCAAAAAGAAAATGTCCATAGACAACATAGTTATTACACTTTATCACGGTATTTTCAGAGCAGAGGCCAAAAAACAAGTTCAACGAATGGAATGTTACCCTCTGTCATCCTCCACTTGCACCCCTATAGAGGTAAACTTGGATGGGTCCTCGGGATCTGGAACCTCCTCTGGTCCATCCACCTAAAGGAGACTGGCTGGATGAGTCCCTTGTATTCAACAATTAAGCCAACTATTTATTTTATTCCGTCACTCCTCCTCCACTGCTGTCTCTCACATACCTGGATGCCGATGGAGAGACATTTGCCCTTCCTAAGTGCTTCCTTCCTATATACGTCCCGGTGGTCTTCAATAACAGCCCCCCTGCTGTGGACTGAGGGGGTGGGGGTGCAAACTGTCATGGCGCTGTTACTGACATGCTGACTTGCTGGTCCATGAACCTACATTGAAACAACCAGAATGGAAAAAAGTGCACTTTGAATAAATTATTCACAAAAAAAAGACAAATGTATTTTTATTTTTTTACAAAAGGTCATTTCGCAAAAATAGGTAAATCATTGTAGGTTGGTTCCTGTGAGCACGAAGCACTAACCTGTGCGTTAGCCGCCTCGATGGCGGCTGTCAGCGCCTTCATGCTGTCGATGCTTTCCGTAGAGTTGCTGAGCCCCGATTGGATGGTCATGTCACCTCTGGGTCCCTCCTCTTCCATGTATGCATCCTGGTTGATTTAAAAGAAAACAGACAAAGGGTTAATGTGACCACAAAACATCACATTAAGCAAAATATGTGAAATAGTTGGAGGTTCCGGTCATCATTGTTTCTTCCATCATCATCATCTTTCATTCTAGACTGAAAACTCAGATAAATAGAACATTTAAAAAACACATTTTTCTACTGTCTCTATTATCTCTTATGACAAACTCATGTAACTGGTCCAATATTATTGCATTTATAAAAATACAAGATTGTCCTCAATGCATCCCAAACACATGTATCTAAGCACTAAAAACGAACCAGTGTCTTCGCGTATGCCTTTCCTTCTCTGATTTCATCCTTTGTTCACTGTGTATGTGTGTTTTCTTCAAGAATTCAAGGTAACGGGGTGGAGTAACGGATATATAGATGTTCATGTTGTGCGCATTCCTTGAAGCAAGTGAGTGCTTTAAAAACGATGGCTGCAAAGGAGCTGGATACTCATAAGCAGGCAGAGGAAGACTAGGAAGCCACCTTGTCCTTTGGACACATATTCCGTCTTGGCATTTCAGCCTCGCCACAGAACGTCAGTGCAGACTGATCACTGATTGGAATGTACATAGTGAGTATTAGTTTCCTTGGACTTGGTTCCAGGGTCTGTAGAAGAGATGCCTTTTCTCTCAAGGAAGAACAACGGTAGGAAAAGCAAAGTCTGCACTTCCATAATTGCTATAGCCCTCACACCTTTAACCATAGTGTACGTTACTTCACAAGTAGATGTGTGGATGTTCTGTGACAACATGCGGGATGACGTCTGTGAGTAGACTTGTGCAGTACCTGTGCAGACTCTGTGCTGCTCTGGGCTGTGATGGAGATGTAGGGCTTGGACGCTGTGGAGCAGGTGGAAGTTCGGGGCGGCACAGGAGGAGGGGTTTTCTTGTAGGTGGTGATGCAAGATGAAACTACAAGAAAATGAGAAAAAGGAAGGTGGTAAAATTCTAAACTCTATAGGTTGCAGATATTGACTACCATGAGATCTGGTTTTCCAATTCTACACACAATCAAACAAAGTTTCATTCACTTCACTCGCAAGCAATTTTCTGAATCAAGTTACACTAGTTAATAGAAGTTGGTAGATTAGTGCTATCAAGAGAACTACTTTTATCATAATACTCATTATAATCATAATATAAAAGCAGAATATGACAGGCACTCACGGAAAAAACAGAAATGAGTTTTCTTTCTCGACCAGACACTCGCACTTCCATCGCACTATTTCGCTCAACAAAAAGCCAATGTGATTTTTCAAGTGGATTTCTAAACAAAAATGCACTCTCCAGAGGGTAAAACGCTATGGTTAAAGTTTCTCTTCAAGTATCTCAAGGTCGTGTTCAGGAGTGAGGGTAGGATGGATCGGGACATCAGCACTAAAACAGTTTTGGTGAAGAGACAACTGCGCAGGATCTCTACATTCTGGCCCTAGCCTGTGGTCACAGACTCTGGGTCAAGGCCGAAAAGACTGGGTCGCGGTCGCCCAAAATGAGTTTTCTCCGTGGGGCGGGCTTAGCCTTAGAGATCGGTTAAGGAGCTCCGACATCATGAAGGAACTTGGAGTTGAGCAAAGTTCAGCTGAGGTGGTTCGGGCATCTAACTAGGATGCCTCCTGGACTGGAAGGTTTTCGGGCACACCGAACTAGAAGAGGAAGAGTAGAGGGATTAAATCTCCCAGCTGGTCTGAGTACGCATCAGGATCCCTCTGAATGAGCTGGGAAATGTTGACAGGGATGTCTGTGTCAACCTGCTGCCACCGCGGAGGGAAATGGAGGGAATTAAACTACGGTCCCAACAAGGCTGTGAAAGCGGGCTGGTGTGTGTGATGACGTTTTGCTGTCTATTTTACCCATTTGTTCTGCAAGACATGTAAAAGACAAAAGTATGAGGGGCCGTTTAACTATTAAGACACTCTCGCGCACACTACTGACACACTCACACATACATAGATACTCTGTAAACCTGTGCATGCACACATATAAACCATTATAGATATTCATCTGAAACACACATACATATGCACTGTAACAAATTGCTGTAAATTTACGGTGCATTTCTAACGGTATCTTACAGTAGGTCATAATAACTGTAACATACAGTTAAATTTCCATCCCTTGCTTGTAAATTAAGGGCCAATGTCATGAATAAACAGTTAAAGCTGTCAATTTACAATAATAGCAGACTACGGTAATTCAATTGCATGTTACATATATTTTATGAAGTGGTGGAAATACAGATACAAGTGCAGTGAATTACAATCCATCTACATCTGTTGTAGGTTAATGTATGGAAGCCCATGTCAGCCACTGAAAAACAGGTCCTGTAAGTCATCATAATGAGATGGTATCTCATGAGATACGATGATGACTTTGACTGACAGGACATTACTATACATGCAGCTGTCACTTTTATCCAAAAAGCCCATGTTTTGACATAATTGCATGTGGAGTAATTGGGGGTTAGGTGTCTTGCTCAGGGACACTTCGACTTGGCACAGGAAGCAGCCACGATTCGAACCGCCGACCTTGCGCTGCACAGCACACCCTCCCTATCTCATACACCGCCTTCGCTGTTGTTTCAGTGGCCAGAATGTAAAGATTATAAATATTTGTATTATTCAAAGTGTTCATTGCCTAAAAGTCATTTGAGTGTTAATCGTGACCGACTGCTCCTGAATGTGACGTCAGACGCGTAATCTCAGTTCATCCAGAACACCTGTCAGTGGAGTTCAACATCGGAGGAGTTTCTCATTGCCTCGTTTCTCCAAGTAACGTTGGTAAGTGTTATTTGCCTAGCATGATTAACATTCTCCTTCCTTACATCTTGTTGTCTTCCGCAACTTTGTAATTTTAATATTTTACCAATGACTGTGTTTCAAAATATTTTATTTTGGTTTGTTTTACAGAAGCACTGTATTAAGGACACCAGCCGTTTGCTGCGGTCAATTGAAAGTGTTCCATAGCGTGTTGTTGTTAGTTTGCCTTGTTCCTAATAATTTTATGATTCTTTTTTTTTTCTTATTGTAGACATGCAGCATATTTTATGTTTTGTTCTTGGTTACAAATATCTAACATTTTTCTCTTAAAAGCATCTAATAAACTCCAACCACTATGACGGAAATTAGTTTGGTTGTCTTTCTTTAATTTGTGGGGAATTAAATGCAAAAGTATACGGTTATAAGTAAACGGTAACATTCTGGTATTTATAACACAAAAGCAGTAATCGTATGGTAACAAACTGTAATCCAATATACAACAACATACCGTATATTACGGTAGGGCACTGTAAATAAAACAGTAAGTTACTAGCGTCAACTGCCAGTAAATTGCAGTTAATTCACAGTAAAATTGGTTCAAGTTTACGGTAACATACAGTAATCCATTTTATGGTAACATAGTTTAAAAACAATTTACGGTAATATACCGTAAGCAAATGGTAGATTTCTGGCGTCCTTGCTGCCAGTAAAATACCGTTAATTTACAGTGACATTGTTTGGAGTGTGAGAAACACACCCACATGCATGTATACTGCTGTGTCATATACACACACATATGAAATGCCTACATGCATACAAGTGAAACATTCATACGTATCTATCTAAAAATACTCATGCATGCAAATATGAAACGGTTGTACATATATATTGATGAACACGTACATGCATTCATTACTGAATCTCTTGATATGTTATGATATAAAAGGTTTAGATATGCAAGCGTTTCACATGTATTCATATGAGTAATCTCACTAGTGCACGTACACAATAGTATATATGTATGTGCGTGTGTTTCAGATGAGTATGTGCGTGTATTTCAGATGAGTATGTATAATGTTTTATGTATGCGTGTGCATAGATTTACAGAGTATGTATGTATGTGTAAGTGTCTCCTAAACGGCCCCTCATACAAAAGCATCCAAATTAAAGAGAGGTGTAGTGACACACAAACTACTTCCGAAATTAATCTGGCAACTTGTGAGGAAGTCCTGGTGTATTGGTTGGAGGATGTGAAAAAAACTGTGAAACTACTGTTGTTCTTAAACTGGAGCCTGTCATCTGCAGGCCCAATGCATACCTGTATCTACAATAACGCACACAATACGATACCCAATACACCCGCTTGTGTCTTCTTCCATGCTGCAGTGTAACGCAGCAATTTCATTTCCTCCGTCTCTGCATTGGTATCTTTGGTCATGCTTTTTATCTAGCCAAGTGCTCCAGGAGATCCAAATATAGATTTTAAATGGCATTTATTCATGCCTGTGTGTTCCTAAAGAACATTCAGCCTGAGGGGGAAGTGCAGCACTTTGTTAGCTACGCAGCCAGCCGCTGATATATCTAAATACCAATGTCCAGCTGGAAAACAATAGTCAGCAGCATATGACAACAGACCACTACCTGACTAAAGCCGATGTTAAACAAATTATCATAAATACCGTGTTACAATGTATGAACAGATGTTTTGCTATGCAGGTGCTAGGGGTCGAGGGTTGGTAAAGTCTGCCAGTCCACATTCATTCATCTTATGTGCAGCACATGTGCACAACTTTCTGAAGTCTTGTCATCACATTGAGGATTCCAGGTCTGGAAGCATTCAGGCCAAACCAATAGCCAGGGACAGAAGGGCTGCGCTGTGTGGATTGATTATAAAAAACACAGAAGTCATCCCATGGTGTGAATCAGTGAATCAGATACGAGGAGCTTGAGTCATTACATAAGCTTGTCATGTTCTTGTGAAAACATTTGTGTAAAGATAATAGATTTTTAATCATTCTGGTGATCATGAACAAAAAGGAGGAGCCAGATTTGTTTCTTCTTCTTAAAAAATAGGAGGGGCAAACTTTGTCTGCTAGAAATACAATTGGCAGAAGTAGAAGAAGAACAAGTTGTAATGTTCCAAACAGATTTGCCTTTACGAATAAGTTAGGAGGCAGCGTTGGTGTACTTTAATCACCCTCAACTCTTCGCCGTTGTTGAACAAAGTTGTCATTACCCACAGTTTTCCTCAGCCTCCTCCATCTCTGTAATGCTTCAACTTACACGCTAACTTTTTGTGTTGGCTGTATGGGCGCCTGAAGGCTAAACAAGGAATATGAGGATAATCCTCATAGAGAGAGCTTTTCACCTCCTCCTCTCTGTCTGGTAAATCAGTCTTCCATAGTGGTGAGCCGGTCTTCTGCCTCTTCTCGTCCCCAGACAGAGCTGGCCTGTCGTAATTCAAGTGTTTCAGCAGAATGTTCAGGTTGCTTTTGGACAGGGTCAGGGCACCTCACCAGTTCTTTTCATTTTATGCATCAGCAGTGTGTGAAAGGACTCAGACTTCAGACTCATTTAAAAATGGAGCTTCTTGCTTTTGGAAGTCAGCTCCTTAGACTGACGTGTGAGAAACTGTCCGGCTGCTTGATTGCACTTCAAAGGACCGTTTTTTTCTGTGAAGGTGTTAGGAACAAGTTTTATAAAGTCCATTGTATCCTCAAAGGAAGCTGTGTGAAACCTGCCAAATCACCAAAGTGATGTTGTCTATATTAGTGTTCGTGTGGAAGACAGCCAAAGAAACTCTTCCAGATGAGTGTATGCACTGGGTGACGCAGCCCAACTGGTCCTGTCCCGTTATCAACTTGGTCCCATCAAGTCAAATTGTAAATGAGACAACGTTGCATTTACAATCATCCAGGGATCTCTGTACACGTGGGATTTCTGTCCCGATGGGCACAAACAGAGGGCGCCTGTCGTAAATTGAAGATGTTGCGTACGCACCCCACCTCCCCGACCCACCTGCGGACGAACATTTCCATTTACTTGTTCAACTTAGCATCATCAAACACTGCAGACTTGTCTGAATAGTATGTGGGGCCTAGAGGGGTATAAGCGCTGAGTAGTGGCTGAGCTTCTCCACGATGTCCTGGTGCACAT